GTGTCACGCTGTATACGCATCCGACTTTAGTGTCCCGCCCGCCCGACCCGACCCGCCCGTTAGGGTCCGCCCGCCCGACCCGCCCGATAGGGTCCGCCCGTCCCGCCCGTCCCGCCCCGCCCGTTAGGGTTCTCATGTGTTTTGCTGTATGCGCATCAGCCTTTAGTGTCCCGCCCGCCCGACCCGACCCGCCCGTTAGGGTCCGCCCGCCCGACCCGCCCGATAGGGTCCGCACGTCCCGTTCCGGCCGTTAGGGTTCTCATGTGTCACGCTGTATACGCATCCGACTTTAGTGTCCCGCCCGCCCGACCCGACCCGCCCGTTAGGTCCGCCCTCCCGACCCGCCCGATAGGGTCGCCCGTCCCGTCGGCCGTTCGGTTCTCATGTGTCACGCTGTATGCGCATCAGACTTAGTGCCCCGCCCGCCCGACCCGACCCGCCCGTTAGGGTCGCCCGCCCGACCCGCCCAGATAGTGTCCGCCCGTTCCCGCCCGTCCCGCCCAGCAGTTAGGGTTCTCATGTGTCATGCTGTGTACGCATCAGACTTTAGTGTCCCGCCCGCCCGACCCGACCCGCTCGATAGGGTCCGCCCGACCCGCCCGATAGGGTCCGCCGTCCCTTCCGGCCGTTAGGGTTCTCATGTGTCACCGCTGATGCGCATCCGACTTTAGTGTCCCGCCCGCCCGACCCGACCCGCCCGTTAGGGTCCGCCCGCCCGACCCGCCCGATAGGGTCCGCCCGTCCCGTCCCGCCCGTTAGGGTTCTCATGTGTCACGCTGTATGCGCATCAGACTTTAGTGTCCCGCCCGCCCGACCCGACCCGCTCGTTAGGGTCCGCCCGCCCGACCCGCCCGATAGGGTCCGCCCGTCCCGCCCCGCCCGTTAGGGTTCTCATGTGTCACGCTGTATACGCATCCGACTTTAGTGTCCCGCCCGCCCGACCCGACCCGCCCGTTAGGGTCCGCCCGCCCGACCCGCCCGATAGGGTCCGCCCGTCCCGTCCCGCCCGTTAGGGTTCTCATGTGTCACGCTGTATGCGCATCAGACTTTAGTGTCCCGCCCGCCCGACCCGACCCGCTCGTTAGGGTCCGCCCGCCCGACCCGCCCGATAGGGTCCGCCCGTCCCGCCCCGCCCGTTAGGGTTCTCATGTGTCATGCTGTATACGCCATCCGCTGTAAGTGTCCCACCCGCCGACCCGACCCGCCCGTTAGGGCCCGCCCGCCCGACCCGCCCGACAGGGTCCGCCCGTCCCGCCCCGGCCGTTAGGGTTCTCATGTGTCACGCTGTACGCGCATCAGACTTTAGTGTCCCGCCCGCATCAGACTTTAGTGTCCTTCCTATCCTCCTTCTGCTCCTCCTCCTTCTTCTGCTCCTGAATTTCCTCCTCAGGTCTCTGTTTCCT